ATTTGCGATCTAAAAGTACCTTTTACCCGGTTGTTTGCTTGAGTTTACCCAATCACATCTGTCACACATGAATACATAACAGCTACGGTTGTTATATTTTAAAAACTTTGACTTTGATTGTTGCTTATTCATGAGAAATGACAGTGTTAATATTATATATAGTAGGTGCCTATGAATTGAAACATGCTCCAAATGGCTAATCACGTTTCACGCCGCCTCTCACATGGAGCAGTGTATTTGTAAGTTGTTTGACCATGTGCGTGCTGATTGATTTGATGTGCCAGTACTTCCACCCATGGAACTCGAGCTGACAGCTCTCTATGCTTTGACAAACGACTGGCTGACCCGCTGCATAATTCAGTGTCAGTCATGTCAAGCTGGTGAGGTATTTACAAGAGGTTAAACGGGGAGAGAGCTATGAGGTGGCTCTGATCTATCTGATCTGTCCGACTCTCTTTCTGATACTGCTGTGTGCCCGGTTGCTTCCTGTAGGCTCTGTTGTTTCAGTCATGTCTTCTCTGTGAATGAAAAGGCCAGATATGATCAGACTTCAATCAGTCTGGTAATTTGTACTGATCTATCTGGTCCTCTGTCCTTCCCTTATCTGTCTGATTAACTGCAATTTAACCTAACTACTGAACTATAGTTTCACAATACTGTACTACATAAACTTCACGTAAACAAATGTGAAGGCCTTGTCTGTTGGTGGGTCTGTGGGGGGGTTTTGTGGGTGGGTGTTTTGATTTAAGTAGCTCTTTGTTTTTGTTTTGTTTGTTTTGCTTTTTTGATGTTTTTTGCTTTTCTTTCTTGTTATTTTCTCCTTTACTATTGTAAACTGAGTAACACGTGCACAAAAAATGAAAATTCTTGCTCTTTGATTCTTATGTCATATTGTGCATTCTCATCAATAAAGTATATATATATATATTAAAAAAAAGACTTAAATTTCATAGTTTTTAGCCAAAGGCTAGGAAATAGTACAAATCCTTACTATATATCCGTACTTTTGTGATTTCTCTTTCATTTCTCAAGTGCTTGTTTTGTATTTTTTTGGTAACAATCTTCCATAACTATTAGACAACAAATTCATCACATAAGCATCACATTCACCCTTCGTCTGCCTCCGCCTGCAGGGTAAATGAAAGACTGTACCTATGGGAAGGGGTGATCATAAAACAACACCTATCATATTCATTGTTTAGAATCAGATATACCGGTCATGCATCGAAAAACGAAAACTAATGTTGGTACAACCATGTAAACTCGCACCCACAGACACACTTTTCTTTTCTCCCCACATACTTGCACTGCATCCATGACTATCCCGGCCGCCACCATTCCCAGGCCGGACACCAGGTACGGCAGCAGGATCTGGGCTGCGATGACCCGCGAGCTCTCTGGCAGTAAGCCGTGGGCTGAGCGGGTCAGTCTGCACGTGAAGCCCCTCAGCTTCTTCCCTTGGAAACGCAGCTCCAGAGCGAGATGGGTCACCACCATGGCTGATGCCCAGTTAACCCATCCCCGCCGCCAAAATCAGCCCCCAAGCCTTTGTTTTTGTTGAATCCGTCAAGCTGATTTGAGATAGTCAATCCATTTGGTGGCTCTTAATAAACGTGACAACAAGCTTGTTTTGCCCTTCACCTGTGACTCCAGCTCTGGCGGGGCAGCAACATAAATGGTGGAATAGGTGGAGGAAGCTGCTCTCCTCCACTTAAATGGATCACGCACACATATTAAGACAGACACACACACACACACACACACACACACACGGGTCCACTTGACAGCAGGTCTGTGAGGCCTCTTCTGACACTCTGCTACTGACAGACCTCCACACACACAGACACACATACATACACACTAACACACACACACTTTCCCTCCTCATGCCTCACTCTTCAGCAGCCGAGCGGCCGAGGCGGAGCGCTGGAAGCCCGGTCTCTTGCGGGGCCTGAAGAGTGTCCAGGTCCTGTGGGACAAGGACATCCAGAAGGCCAGCAGCTTCTTCTCGGCTCTCCTGTGCCGCTGCTCCTTCTCCCCCCTCTTCCCGCACACCTCCCTCCCTCTCTCCTCGCCACCGGGCTGATGCCCCGTGTGAGCTTCACCACTCTGGAACCCTTTCCTCATTTTGACCGTTGGTCCGGGCCGGGGCCAGCTGTGCTGAGTTAACGCCAGTGGACAGTGTGACGTCAAAGGCTTGTCAGGAGAGACAGGGCAACTGTCGCCAAGGTTGCCCTCTGATTCCAGACGGAGAGATGAGTCGTGACGGTGCTCCGTAGTGGAGGGGGGGACAAGACGGAGGACAGTGTGTGAGACGATGCTGGAGACGTTTGTGTGTGCAAGCAAGGTGGCCAGACTGAAGAAAGAAGAGTCCTGATACAGTTTCCCCTCTTTCTCCCCGTTTCTTTTTTTTGGGATCAGTTCAGAGGAGAATGCGGTTGTGCTCTCCGCCTCTTTGATAGCTCCTCCTTTCCCCCGCTCGCGATGTCCTCACTGTAAGTGGGTGACGCACTCTGAGCAGCAGCAGGTGCTGCACCTGTCACCAGCACGTGGTGCTGCTGCTGCCTGGAAAGGACACAGTTTATCACCCTTGATGGGAGGAAACGCTCTCTCTGTCACTAACTATCGGCCGATGGAATTCTTCAGTCTGTCCGAGTTCAATACGTCACTCATTTGTCAGTTTTTGTCTTTCCTATTTGCCAAGTTCCGGCACAGGAATGAAAACTAATAGCCTATTCTGCTATAGGTGTAAGCGATAGACAGAAATAAAATAAGTTCAAACATGTCTTTGGCTTCACCGTACTCATTTGTTCTCACTATATGATGTCACATAAGCCTGCGCAGAATACTTATTGCGACCATGTCCTCACACACGCACACACAAGGACAGTGACTCAGCTGAAAAGTGTCCTTGAGACAAGACTGGGAACGGGTGCTCCACTCACTGCAGCTCCCCCTTCTGACTCCTGGCTGTAGTTTGAATTGTGAAGCAACAGATTGAGTAGTAACTGGAGGTTTATGGGGTTTCTATACAAAATTAAGGAGTCAAATCACTTAACGTGAATAATCTTCAAGAGTCCTTCAAGAGCCCCCCCCCCCCCTGTGAACTCAGGCCAGCAAAGTTAGTGAGGCAACCCTAAAATCCTCTACTAATTCCTGAACCTCGGTACTTTTCATATAATGCTTGTATTGGCCTCCGTCCAAACCAGACTGTGTAAAATAGACATTTCTATCTAGATCAAACTGTTATTCAGGGTGGGAGATTTAGTGTTGAGTATGTAATGAAGGGATGTAATTCCTGTTGAGGCTACATTTGGATGGGAAGTCATTCTTAACTGTAAACCAATGTAATATTAGTTTAGTAATAGCAAAATCATAATTCATGTGTGTGAACGTACACTTCAGAGATGACAAGGAGTCACCAACAGTGATGGTCTGCAATCAGAGACAGAAAGGAGGGGGATAGAAGGAGGAGAGGGAGGGTGAGGTTAAATTTCAGAAAACCAACCTTACAGCTCATTTTATTTCCTTGTTAATTATCAAAGTTTCATTCAAGATCTAGAATTTCCCAGGAACTTATGTTAGTCCTCAATAAATATCGTTAAGTTGCTTTAGAGATAAATAAATCACACAAAATAAATGAATCTGGTGTGTATCTAAACAAAATGAAATGGTCTAAGATACTTAACAGTTAAATACATCAAGTTATGTGTTCTATTGTCAATTTCAGTTACAGTATGTCCGTACTTACCAGCCAAAGCACAGATGTTGATCAATGTTCTCTGCCTAATGAAAACAATCATGGAAACAATATTACTGTCTTCTGTGTATGAGCAATAAAGGGTTAAAACTAGCAGAACTACAGCACACCCACAACAAATGACAGCTCCATCTCAGCTCTATGTGAGACTAATAATGGATTAGCTTATGTCTCTGTATACTGAATATATAAAGTAATGTTCCTATAGGGCCTGCATTATTACTACAGATTTATACTATCAGCCTCATCTGAACAAAGGTTATTTGTACATCAAGGTCTAATTTAAGATCAAAAAAAGAATGGTAATTGAAAAGCTTTAACGTAAAGATGGCCCATCTCGGACGGCGCTATAGCCACTATTGGCCTATCTCGAACGATTCCGTCGTGACACACTTTCCGGTCATTTCGCTGTCATTTTCTTCGGCGATCGCCATCCAATTGTAAGTATTATTGATTCATACATATCAAACAATCTACGTGTCAAATTTCATGAATATATATGGACATTTACATGTCTAAATACTATAGGAAAGTGACTTTGATGAGAGAAAGCAGAAAGAACACTCGGCGACGCTCTTTACTCGGAAAAGTGTCTCTGTATTTTCACCGTATTCCTAATATGAGTTAGCATATGAGTGTAGTTTGTAGCTAGCTTTACACTACTTTGTGGAGCCAATGAAAATATAGTATTGATGTGTGACATAATCTGTAGTCGAGGGGAGGGAGGCAGAAATGTTGGGTCTGAAAAAAAAAGTTGTGTCCCCAGGAAAAACGAACAAAGAATCGTAGCGCCAGTTAAAGGTAGGCAGCTGTTTGTTTGGTCTTAGCTCTGAAAGATAACAGCAGACATATGTAAAATAAAATGTTTTTCTTGTTTATCATAAGCCAGGCTACATCAAGTATATTAATGCACAATGATCTGATAAATGATGCAAATAATGTTGGTGTGTGTTTGAGAGTGAGAGAGACTGTCTGTACATGTATTGAAAGCCAGCAGTGGCTCTTATAGAACTATTGTTTATGTAGACAAACCTGCAATATAATACAGTGCTATGTTATACAGTATATAAGATTAACCAAAATGTAATGTTTTTGACTCAAATTTCTCTCTTGTGGTTTATGTTCCTGCCTGAAAAGATAGAGAACAGAGACAGAGAGAAGGAAGAGAAGAGAGGCAAAGGGAGACAGCAATAAGCAGAAAAACAGTAGAAAGAAGACTTAAAGAAGCAGAAAAGAACAGAAAGAAGACAGCAATAAGCAGAATGTGTCTATACATGGTAATCTGGCAATTTATATAATTATTCAATTTATTTAGACATGTAATGTGGCTTTAAAACAAATTTTGAATTTAATATCTTACTGTGTCAAAATGAATGTGTATTTGCAGATGCCAAACATGCCGCAAGTTCGGAAGAGGGAGAGGAACACGAGGAGGTGGACCCAGGAGGCCGTGGCACAGGCACTGCAGGAGGTGAAAGCAGGCAGGCTCACTCTACGGCAGGCAGCCCAGCAGTTTGGGGTCCCGAAGTCCAGCCTGAGTGACCGAGTCAGTGGAAGGGTGTCCTCTGACTGTGTCTATGGTCAGAGGACTCTCCTCACCCCTGAAGATGAGGATTCCCTGGTAGAGTACCGTTTGTATTCTGCCAGTCATGGGTTTCCACTGACGAAGCCTCAGGTCCTCGCCCACGTTCTGGCCATCTATAACCTCCGCCACCAGGAAGCACCAAGAACCTAGCTTGGCCAGACGTGGTGGATAAACATCAGGGAGCGGCAACACCATCGCCTTACTGCCCGGACCCGACATCATTGACCGTGGGAGGGCATCCTGCGCCAAGAGGGGGTCAATTGATCAGTATTTCAGGCTCCTCACCTCCACCTTGGAGAACGGGTTGAGGGAGAAACCGCGTCAGATATACAACTGCAACGATACGGGGTTTCAGCTGGACTCTACAAGAAGGAAGGTCATCGTGCCCCGGGGGACTAAACATGCTTATAGGCAGGCCCAGGGAACCAGAGAACACATCACTGTCCTAGCCTGCCTCAACGCGGCTGGGGAGGATGTCCCCCAGTTCATCATCTACAAGGGGGATATCCAGGGTACCCCTATTACAAGGAAGGGGTTCCTGATGCCCTCTACGGGAAGTCGCCAGCATGGTACATGGACAGTGAGCTGTTTAGGAAGTGGTTTGTCGGGCACTTCCTGAAGTTCGCCGCGCAGGAGCGCCCGCTGCTGCTCATCATGGATGGACATCAATCACACCTGGATCCAGAGCTGGTCCGGGCGGCACAGAGGGAGGGGGTCATTCTCCTGTGCCTGCCACCACATACGTCTCACATCCTTCAACCTCTGGATGTGAGTTTTTTCGGACCCTTGAAGGCAGATTTCTCTGGTGTTGCAGGAGATCTGTCGGCAGTGAGCCACTCCTTCTTGGTTTCTAAGAAGGAGTTTTCAAGGGTACTAAGAGACTCCTACCAGAGGGTGAAGGATCGGAGACTGGTCCCAATGGCCATCGACTGGTCACGGGTCATGAGGTCCGGGCAGCGGCGTGGGGCCTCCTCACCACCTCCGCCAACCCCATCAGCATCTTCCTGGGCTGCGCCTGATGTTACCCTCCCCTACCAGCATCCCCTTTCCCCAGCCCCTATCCCCAATCCCCAGAACCAACCTCCACCTGCCCCTCCTCCTCCCAATCCCTACATCACCCATCCCCTGGTAACATCAGGCCGGATAACAGTAGACCTGGCCCACCTCCTGGCCAAAATAAACTACAACCGCAACACCGGCAAGGTCAGGAGGAACATCACCAAGGCCAGGTCACTGACAGCTCAGGAGATGTCCGACGTCATCGTGGAGGCGGAGGACCGTGCTGCAAGGCGGGAGGCCCAAGCTCTGGCCAGAAGAGACAGAGAGCAGCAGCAGGCCGGAGCCACCGGCCCGGCAGCCACTTCCTCTACCCTGTCTGGCGGCTCTCGCCCCAGCCGCAGAAGACCAGTGTCCCTCGGGGCTACTACAGCCACCAGCTTTGGACTTTCCATCGCCGGTCCCTCATCCCGCTCTGCCCCCTCTTGTGCCTCTCATGGTCCCTGGCTGCCTGCCAGCAGGACCACAATGTGGTGGAAATTAAAGTATTTCCTTGAGAGAAATCAAAAATGACCTTTAAGCTTTCTGTCTTTTAAGTATTTATTACAAGATAAAGATATAGAAAAATTATCAAAATCATACAAACAAATAAACAAAATCAAACATCTAACGAGCCCAAACAGCTCAAATGTGCACTAACAGATTAACCAGAATAAAACAGAGTAAAACATAGTCATAGGTTGCTAATCAGCTGATAGCATTGAGAGCGTCTCCTTCACCCTGGAGGATCAAGGGAGACTCTCACTTCTCCACAAAGAAGTGAGCCTTAAGAACCAACTGAGTGCCGCCTTTCCCAACAGCAGGAAGCTGCATGTCAATCAAACTCCAGTCAGTCAGTCAGTCTCCTGTTGTCTGAGGGATGTTTACACAAAATCAAGTAACCATCTGTCTCCTATAAGGCTCCCCACATTTGAGAAGCTGCCCCCACTTTGGTTCCCAGAAGACGCCCATAGGTCAAAGTTCACACTAGACCGAAAACACATGTGGACAGATTCAAGTCAAAATATAAGTCACATTATAACTATTAACAATTTTCCCCCGACACACAACATCACCAACGAGCCTGCCTGCTGAGGAACACCGCCATCTACCCCCGTCT